GTGCACTCAAGGATTTGGTGATTCATAAATTTAAAGTATAAATAAACGAATAAATATAAAAATTCTCCTCTCTGCAAGCGTTGCCGCTAAATCCCCAGGAATCTTCCAGGCCTCAGTTGGCAACCCTCTTCCCCAGTATGTCGGACTTGTGACGAACTCTCCACTCATGGCAACATCAGGTCAGCTGTAAGAAGTCTCCAGCGCATGTTGAGTCTCTCATTCCAGGCGAAGCTGCAGAGGGTCAGAGAGTTCGTTGTCAAAACAGAATACTTTCATCAACTGTTCGCACTCACAGAAAAGTAACTTGTGGAACAAAAGACAGCGCCGTGACCTCCCGTATGTAATGTGCTGTCCCCTACTGTTGTTTTTTCTTCTTTATTTTCACTTCCTTTGAACTCCCATTAATGTTTGATGACGGCTGAGCAAGGTTGTCAGCCGAATCGAATGATTGACGGGCACTCTCAAATTTTCTGCTGGAAATGGAATGCCGTTCTCTTTTTCTGCAGAGGAATCTATTTTGTTTGTTTTGACTTCATCCGAAGCTTTGATTTTGTTAGAGGGTGTTTGGGGAGGGCATTGTTTTGTTTTGGGGTGGGGTTGTGTTTTTTTTCTGCATTCGATGGACACACGTGAGAATACCCCAAAGGTGCCTTCGCTTTGTAGCCTAGTTATTTCAGCCCTGGTTTCTCCTTTCATTCGGCTGTCTAGACCTGCACCATCTTTCCGTAACAAACAAGGTCAGTCCCAATGTAAAGCTGTTTGAATCCTATTGACCTTTGAATTTGTTTTAACAGTTGCTCTGCTTTTCCCAAAGGTCCAATTATGCCATTAGCAAACCTGGCTGTTCAGAGACTATGTAATTTATTGTCTGTTGGTTTCCAGTGAATACTTCTTCCTGTCTGGTATAAAAAGAAAATTGAGAGGGTAGAGAGGAGGGACCGTGGCTCAGTGGTAGAGCCTATGCTTGGCATGCAGAAGGTCCCAGGTTCAATCCCCGGCATCTCCAGTTAAAGAACCAGGCTGTAGGTGATGTGAAAGACCTCCCCTGAGACCCTGGAGAGCCATGAAGTGGGGCTGTGACTCAGTGGCAGAGCATCGGCTTGGCATGCAGAAGGTCCCAGGTTCAATCCCCGGCATCTCCAGTTAAAAGGACCAGGCAGGAGGGGATGGGAAAGACCTCCCCTGAGACCCTGGAGAGCCATGAAGTGGGGCTGTGGCTCAGTGGTCGAGCCTCTGCTTGGCATGCAGAAGGTCCCAGGTTCAATCCCCAGCATCCCCAGGTAAAAGGACCAGGATGTAGGTCATGTGAGAGACCTCTGGCTGAGATCTCTGGAGAGCGGCTGTCAGTCTGAGTAGGCCTTTGATCGACCAGTGGTCTGATTCAGTATAAGGCAGCTTCACGTGTAATAGTAAGATCAGCATTCACATTTGAAAGTCAGTCATTAGGGGAAATACCTCTAGAATCTTAAGAATTAAAGCGCCTTTTTAATGAACGAAACTGGAATTCCAAGACAACTCTAGTGCTGATGTCATTGGGTGTTTTGTTTGATATCTGACTGTCCTGCTTGTGTTAAAAGCATCCATGACTTCTATAAAAATTGGTCTCCAATATAGCATGTAGGAGCTGCGGTGGCTCAAGTGGTTAAGACGCTGAACTGCAGACTGTGGAAGGTCGGTAGTTCAGCTGTTCGAGACCCGAGTGTGCCGCATGACGGAGTGAGCTCCCGTCTCTGGTTCCAGCTCCTGCCAACCTAGCAGTTCGAAAGCAAGAAATTGCAAGTAGATAAATAGGTACCGCTTTGGTGGGAAGGTAACAGTGTTCCGTGCGCCTTGGTGTTTAGTCATGCCGGCCACATGACCACGGAAACGTCTTCGGACAGCGCTGGCTCTTCGGCTTTGAAACGGAGATGAGCACCGGAACCCTAGAGTCAGATTCGACTGGCTTTCGAGCAAGGGAACCTTTACCTTTATAGCATGTACTGTACCTGATGCTAAACAGGTTTCATCTTTGTATCAAAACAAACAAAAATGAGGTTTTTAAAAAAGTGTTCAACACTGATGTTTGCGATTTCAGAAAACAAAAGTCTCAGTATTCTATGTCACAACTATGCAGAGCCATTTATATTATTCATGTGCACAAAAAACACAGCTTCTTGGATTGGTTCCACAGTCTTTGTTTCTTGAGATCCTAAATGCCAGGTACACCCCCCCCCCCAAAAAAAACACAACTTTTATATTTAAGCATAATTAGATCCAAGGCCGATGTAAGATTCTTTGTAGACATAGTTGCAGGGAATTAATTTGTAACTCTGAGATGAGGTAGCCCTGTCAGTAATTGTTCAATTGATTGTAATGTTAGTTTTATTCTTCTATTTGTTGTTAAATTCTATTCATTGTCCTTTTAGTCATGATTTCTATGTGACTATGTAACCCACCCTGAGCCTGCCTGCGTGGAGGGTGGAATAGAAAATAATAATAATAACAACAACAAGCCAGTTTGGTGTAGTGGTGAAGTGCGCGGACTCTAATCTGGGAGAACCGGGTTCGATTCCCCACTCCTCCACTTGCACCTGGCTGGATGACCTTGGGCAAGCCTAGTTCTGATAAGAGCTGTTCTTGAAAAAGAGCAGTTTCTGTCAAGAGTTCTCTCAGCCCCACCCTCCTCACAGGGTGTCTGTTGTGGGGAGGGGAAAGGAAAGGAGTTTGTAAGCCGCTCTGAAACACCCTTGGGTAGTGAAGGGCGGGGTATAAATCCAATCTCTTCTAATAATAATAATAATATTGCAGATCAGAGAAAATGTAGGCTCAGAAAAGATATCCTTCATGGGCTCCCATCCGTCATTGGCCTTCTTCATCCCCAAACTTGTCATCCTTCTGAAACAGCTGCTAAAAAGAAGGCAGGGGGACTACGGGTTTGATTCCCCACTCCTCCACATGCAGCGGGGTATAAATCCAATCTCTCTCTTCTCTCTATGGCAATCCCCACGTGGCATATTCCAAATCTCCGGGGTTCTCAACCACATCTTCGTTGTCAGAGTGCTGAAGACAGGCTCCCTGTCAAAGCAGAGGAAAAGATCCCAACCATACCTGCCATATTAGTGGCTTTGTAAACTGGATCACACTTAAAAAAACCCAGCAATAAAACATTTACCTGAAAAGAGAGGTTTTATGTGTCTATACTTACCAAGATATATCACTGAGATAAAGTGAGCCTGTGTACTCTGGATTTAATCCCACTTACTCCAGTGGGAGTAACTCCCTAGGTAAGTGTGCTTACAGTGTGCTATCCGAAGAACACTTTCCTGGGAGTAAAGCCCCATTGAATAGAGTGGGATTCTGCTTAGAATTGCTCAGTTATCTTGTATTATTATTGTCTTTATCGTTTTTGCAACCAGAGTAATAATAACCAGAGTTTTTAGTCGTTCCTCCGTTGTTCAAATTTGGGTAAGATTTGAGTGGGAAAATGGGCTTGTTTGGTTTCAACATATTCATATATTGAAGCCTTAACATATGAATATAAGCTCCTTAATCCGTAATTAATACTAGATTTATGTTGGTCCTGAATATTTCTGTTCATTGCAAGGGCCTTCCTTCCTTCCTTCCTTCCTTCCTTCCTTCCTTCCTTCCTTCCTTCCTTCCTTCCTTCCCTCTCTCTTTACGTTTTATTTCCACCTCTCCCCTCTCCCCATTCTTTCTTTCTTTCTTTCTTTCTAGCTGCAGATCGGAAGGTCAGTAGCTCAACAGTTTGAGACCCCAGTGCCAGAGTGAGCTCCTGTCTCTGGCCCCAGCTCCTGCCAGCCTAGCAGTTCAAAAGCAAGAAATTGCAAGTAGATAAATAGGTACCACTTCGGTGGGAAAGTAATAGCATTCTGTGCACCTCTGGGATTAGTCATGTCGGCCACATGACCGTGAAAAAGTCTTCAGACAGCACTGACTCTTCGGCTTGGAAATGGAGATGAGCACCACCCCCTAGAGTCTGATTCAACTGGCTTTCGAGCAAGAGAAATGTTTACCTTTAACCTTTTTAGAGGAATGTTGTGATGGGTATCTGTACCCAAACACATCTCTAGAGATGGACAGCTTGACTAGCAACTGACTTGGTATTTATGAGCCATTCCTGGAAAATATTTTGGGGAAAGGGTATTTTCTGAGTATCCTCTCCAAGAGCTGCACCTGCAGGGAGCGATGATCTTAGGCGGTTGGAGCAGCTTCCCTATGAGGAAAGGTTGAACTTTTCAGTATAGAAATGAGACAACTAAGGGGAGACATTATAAAGCTTTATAAAATTATGCATGGGGTGGAGAGAGTTGACAAAGAGATTTTTTTCTCGAACTTCCAAAACACTAGAACTCGAAGGTGTCTGATGTAAATGATGGGCAGTAGGTTCAAGATGGACAAAAGGAAATGCCACTTTACACAGAGAGTGATTAAAATATGGAATTTGCTGCCAGTAGTGATGGCCACAGGAATAACCAGCTTTAAAAGGGAATTAGATTCATGGAGGATAAGTCTGTCAGTGGCTACTAGCCATGACGACTGAAGGGAACCTCAATATTCAGCCTCTATGCCCTGTTGCTGGCTGTCCAGAGGACCTGTGAGATAGGATGCTGGACTAGATGGACCACTGATCTGATACAGCAGGGCTCTTCTTATGTCCTTTGGTCCTGAATATTTCTGTTCATTGCAAGGGCCTTCCTTCCTTCCTTCCTTCCTTCCTTCCTTCCTTCCTTCCTTCCTTCCTTCCTTCCTTCCTTCCTTCCTGACATGGCTATAGACTTCTTAGCTTTAGGCATTCCCTTTGACCAAGCTCTATGTACCCCTTCATTCATCAGGGGTTTTTTTTTCCACGATGGAAGGAACAACACAATCAGCGGGAGTTTTGTGTGTTTGCAAACTGAAATCAATTTCTAATCACTTGGTCAAAACAATTTACTTTTAAAAACCTGCACTGAAAAAAGATCGGCACCAGCCAAGAAATACATTTCCCTTCTTTTAATTAGATCAAACCCATTTTACGAACCAAAACCGAGCTCTGCTTTAAATAATCAAGTTACTTCGCTGCAAGAAACAGAAAGGAAGATGAAAAGGAAAGCCCCGGAACCGCCGGTCCTCTCGCCAAAGACAGAAACGGGAACAAGTGAGAACACGTCAGCTCTTCACGCCGTGAAAGAGCTTTCCTCTTCTCCTAAGGTACGTTGCTTCTATTTTACCTGTGTTACAAATATTTCTTAAAAGTAGAAACTCCTCCTCACCTATTGCAGGCATTGCACTTAGTACTCCCCCCCCCCTTTTTGTCAGATGCTTTCTCTTGATTTTTTCAGTCGCTTCATTCTGCACGGGGCCGGACTATGATTTCAGATGTTTGAATCCGGTCATGAGCAGAAGGCGCCAAAGATACTCAACGCTGCTCCCAGCTAGATGCACTGGGCTCTTCCGCATTCTGATCTTCATCACTTGTGTGCTACTGCTTCAGGGGTTTTTTTCACCCCTCCAATGTGTTTTGCTCTCTCTAGTAGTCCCAGAGGGAGCAAAACACATGTGGAAGGGGAGACGGACCCAAAACTATAGGGGAAAACAAGTGACAAAAATGACAGTGCGGAAGAGCCCACTGTGTAATCCAAGAAATGTGGAAGCCATAGCAATGGATGCTGGGAGCAGTGCCCCAGAAACCTCTATGACCTCCCATGACCCCAGGGCGGTGTGGGGCGGGCCACCACCCAGAGCCCTTGCTGCTCTGTGAACATCTCCACCCCCCAAACTTGCTGCCGTAAGCAGAGATCAGTTCAAAACTGCACAATCGGCTTTGAACTGAGTCACAAATCCCGTGAAGAAACATTTAATGAACGAAGGACCTTGCGGAGGCATTCTGCGAAAGCTAGATTGGAGAACGTCATAAAATGGGGTGGAATCAGAACGGTGTGTGTTTTTGTCCTAAATGACTGAGTGGCTTTTCGTCGTGGGAGGGGGAAGGCACGTGGATGGAAGAGGTCGCTTTCTGCCCAGTCGAGTATGCTGAGCAACCTTAGCTTCAAATGCACTTTTCCATTATTTGTGCATGTCGGTAATACAAACCTGCAAGTTTAAAAATGATAAATGATCACAGAATCATAGAGTTGGAAGGGATCTCCAGGGTCCATCTAGTCCAACCCCCTGCACAATGCAGGAAATTCACAAATCTCTCCCTCCACTCACCCCCAGTGACCCCTGCTCCATGCCCAGAAGATGACAAAAAACCTCCGGCCAAAGTGGCCTGGAGAAAAATTGCTTCCTGACCCCAAAGTGGCGATCAGCATTTCCCTGGGTGTGTAAGAAAGAGCCACAAGAGCTAAGCACTGAGGCAACCCTTCCTGCCCTCCCTTCTCATGATCTGCTTAAGTTCACAGAATCCGCATTGCTGTCAGTTGGCCACCTAGCCTCTGTTTGAAAACCTCCAAAGAAGGAGGGCCCACCACCTCCCGAGGAAGCCTGTTCCGCTGAGGAAGCGCTCTAACTGTCAGGAAGTTCTTCCGAATGTTTAGCCGAAAACTCTTGTGATTTACTTTCAACCCGTTGGTTCTGGTCCAACCTTCTGGGGCAACAGAAAGCAACTCAGCACCATAACTACTAGCAACATAATAGATCACAACTACCACCAGCAGAATGCACAGATCTTTGCCCGGGCTCTCCAACCCCGAGACACAAAATTCCAGGGACTAAAGGATAGCCACATGGGTGAGGAGGGGGAATCACCATTCCTGGCATAGGCATGGCTGTACGCACAGGAGGAGGAGGAGGAGGAGATACCAGTTATGCCCCCTTCGCTCTCCCCTCGGCAACCAGGTTTGCCAACTCTGGGTTGGGAAATTCCTGTAGTTTTAGTGGTGGGGAGGCGGGTATAACGCTGTGGAGTTTACACTCCAACACAGCTATTTTCTCCAGCGTAACTGATTCCTTGCGGCTGGAGATAAGTTATAATTTTAGGAGATCCCACTTGGAGGTTGGCAACCATAACAGGAGGGCTTTTTTTGGTAGAAAAAGCCCAGCAGGAACTCATTAACATAATAGGCCACACCCAACAGCAGAAACGCATTAGCATATCAGGCCACACCCCTGATAGCACAGCTCATTAGCATATCAGGCCACACCCCACACCTTCCCTTGGCTTGCTTGGGCGCCCCACGACTGTGAGGAACCCAGGCAAGCCCCCCCCCCCTTGAAGCGAAGGGAAGGCAGTTTAAATTGCCTTCCCTTGGCTTGCCCAGGCACCCCACGACTGTGGGAAGCCCAGGCAAGCCAGCCCTCGCACAGGCTGGGGAAGTCCTCGGAATCGCCGGGGGGGGGGGTCGCTCTCCAGGTCTTCCCTCTGTAGCCACGCACGCGGAGGTTTTGGTTGTAGTGGGCGTGGCCAACTCGGAAGCCAGATGGAACTCCGTTCCTGTGCGTTCCTGCCCCAAAATAGCCCTGCATAACGGCATCTCCCAACCTAGTTTGGAGGGGTCAGAAGGGACTGCAGAGAAGCGAGGGGGGAATGTGTCAACGAACCTTACTCCTTCCACTGGTGGTAATTAGGCTCCAGCGCAATAATTTAAGGATGTTTAAGTCTGCATATGTTAGCGAAACGGTTCGCAAAATGGGAAAGATGGAATTTCGGTGCCACGTGTTTACTATATGAAACAAATGCAAGGAACCACGCACGGTATTCTGTGATCATATTAGGCATATTAAGTGAATCCGCTCATATTTGTCTGTTTTCGATAATCTGTTCCACTTCCAAGCTGAAGTGTGGTTTTTTTTAAAGAAGTTGGGGTTGAAATTTGATTTTTGACCACCCATGCCCGGGGTGTGTTGAATGATGTGTTCGGAATGAAAATAATAGTGTGTTTCTGTTCCACCCTTTTAGTATATTTACCGGAGGTGAGGTGTGTTAGTACATTGCTGGAAGTATTCAAATGGCCCGTTCCTCAAATAAATCCACTACTGTAGGACAGCGGAGATGAGCTGGTTGGAGATCTGTTTGCAAAGCTCTCTCTTCTGCAATGTGCTCTTTGGGGAGAAGTGAGTTTTAAAAAAGACGTATGCAGGGGTCATTTCGTAGAAAAAGAGCTAGGGGAACTCATTAGCATAACTCATTAGCATATGCCACACCCCCTGACATCAGGGGCCCGGCGGTGGACCTGCAAGGCCAGCGGGAGTGCGAGGAAGCCCCACCAAGGCCCTCCCTGGCCCCAGGCAGGCAGGGGTGGGGAGAGGCGGGGAGGAAGCAACTTACCCTCCCTCTTCTCCTGCCTCCTCCTGGCTGAATGAGGGCTGGAAGCGGGGCAGCCGGAAGCAGGGGGCAGGGCTTCGTCATGTGCCCCGCCCCCCTGTACCTCACCCGGGGGAACTGTGTTCCCCCGCGTCCCCCCCGAAATGACCTCTGGACGTATGTATTTCGGCAGTACCGCTGCTAGCGATCCTGGCACCCAGCTTTACTCAGTGACTGAAATATTTCCCTGTGACTCCTACCCTGGGTAGAACAAAGAATGCGATATTTTAAAAAGAACCATTTGACTAGTTAATGTTTTGACCTCCCAATGAAGAGAAATGTCTCACATGAAGCTGCCTTATACTGAACCAGACCGTTGGTCAATCGAGGTCAGTATTGTTTCCTGAAATGGGCAGCCGCTCTCCAGGGTCTTTCGCATCACCTCCTACCTCACCCTTCTCACTGGAGATGCCAGGGATTGAACTTGGGACCGTCTGCATGCTAAGCGAATACTCTTCCACTGAGCCACAGCCCCTCACTTAAACCCTTAGCCAATAGGAAGGGCCTCCATCGTCATTCCAAGAAGGGCGAAGTGCTGTCAGTTGGTGAGTGTTGACTGGGAGGATTAGGAGACAGCCTCCTCTGGATGGGGTACCACACCCCTTGAGGGAGACGGTCCACAACATGGGGTGTGCAGTTAGACCCAAAAGTCTAGAAGGAGAGAGAAATCTCCATTGTAGTTTGTAGCACTTTCCCCCCAGCTTTAGCTGCTTCGCCAGCTGCGGCCCTTCCTCATGAACCAGGATCTAGCTGCAGTAATCTGTTTGCCAACCACGTAGGGTTCCCAGGTGTGGTTTGGGAAATTCCTGGAGATTTTCTGGGTGGAGCCTGGGGAAGGCAGGGTCTGAGGAAAGGAGGGACCTCGGGGGGGGGATAACACCATCGAGTCCACCCTCCGAAGCACCAGTTTTCTCCAGGGGAACTAATGTCTGTAGTCTAGAGATCTGTTGTAATTCTGGGAGATCTCCAGGCCCCACCTGGAGGATGGCACCCCTGTGACCACTTCCCGATCAGATGACTACAGTGCACTCTAGCTCTGAAAATGGTTGGGTCCCGTGAACTGGTTCAGAACATGGCTGCCATTTTCTTGACCAGGGGTCAGTTAGCATCGACGCATCACCCTAGTTTTGTGAGATCTTCACTGGTTACCCGTATACTACTGGGCCCAGTTCCAAGTGCAGTCTGAGACCAGGGCACTTAAAAGGACTACCTCCTCTTATGTAGCCATGCTTCGACATTGAGATAATCATCGCAGGCTCTGCTCCAAGCAAACGGAGAAGGATTACCATGAAACAGCCTTCTCTGTGGTTGGTTCCGATCTCTGGCGGGCCCGCCCTTTGGAAGCCCGCACATCCCTTTCCCTGGCCTCCTTTCAGTACCAGTTTAAAATGTACCCATTTGTGCAAGCCTTTGGCTGGGCATCTGGATTTGTCTTTGGATATGCACATGCTGTGGTGGCTGGTTGATGCTGACTATTTTATTTTTATTTATATCCTGCCTTCCCCACGAGCGGGCTCAGGGCTGTTTACATCAATCTTAATGTAATACAATTAAAACAGCTTTAAAATAACAATTTAAAATAGAAAAGAATCATAAAATACCATGTAACAGATTAAATCAGATGTCAGTTTTCAATGTCCATTAGATTAGTTACAATACAACAGTGGGTACCCCAATGTCTATTTGGATCCAGGCCAATGGTGGGAGATTGGCCAAGGGAGGGGGGGACGTCCACCGCCTCACCCAAAAATCTGGTGGAAGAGCTCCGTCTTGCAGGCCCTGCGGAATGGTGATAGATCTCACAGGGCCCTGATCTCTATGCTTTTATGCTGGTGATTGTGGTTTTGTTGATAGGATTTTACTGTATTGTTTTACCATAAGCTGCCTCAAATATGTTGTGGGAGAG